AGTTCTCTATGATATGTGTTTGACATCCTCCTATAGTTTCTTTGTGTGTATGTGTGTTTTATACATATCACAAGCTTACTGGTAATGGTAACATTTGCCTTGCCCAGCGAGCAAGACCCACTGGTTTTTGAGAAAGTGGGTCCAAAGAACTCTGTAGGCCTTGTAGGCCTGATTAAGGTTCATTTTTCATCTACTATTCCTCATTATTTGGAAAAAAAGAAAAAAAAAACAATAATTACAACTTACAAGAGTTGCGCTACCTAAATATATTTCAGATATAATCCTTCCTATTTTTAATGAACCAAACTCAATGCCATCCCGGGTTTTGGCTGCGTTCCATTCACACTCAGCAGAGCATGGGCAAGGCGGCTGTTGTGTTATTTTCTGCAGCAGCAATGCAAACCTTAGTTATAAATTAGACTTTAATATTTTTTGGTGTTTAATGACAAGTTTTTAAACTGGAAACATTAGGAAAAATATTTTTTTCAGCTCAGCATGCTGAGTCTGGTACTGTGTATTTCACCAGTCCATACCTCTGACTCAGCTTCTTGGGGCCCAAGTTGCCTGCCCAATGGCTGGGATAGAGGTGCCTTGCCATGATCTCAGAATGCAGTCTGTGGAATTATTCTAGATAAAGTTAAAGGCAAACCAACACATTTAAAGATCAGGTTGTCGGCCCATTCAACCGACTTACTTTTGTTTTATTTTCTTTCTTAATTTCCTTTTAAATAACTCTGAGCTTAGGGAAGACAACTCCCGAGAAAGGCCATGAATAGTTGAGTCTACACAGTGAAGAAACCATGCAAAATGTTTAATATTGGATATAAAGAGTTTCAAAATGTTTAATACTAAACTGTTTGGAAATACATTGTTAATTATGTGTATACTTAATAAAATTCAATGTTTTGTCCTCAGAAGAGTTGAGACCAAACTGAACCTCATTTATAGAAAACTACATGTGGGATCATTATATTGGCCTCTTGTTATTAATTCCATGTGGAAGGATGATCTAGTCACCATTTACCCCCATCTGCACTGTATTTACTGGGAAATTATTTTGTCACTGCTTTTCTAAGTCTCCATGACAGTCCTTGCCCAGCATTTTAAAATATTGGCCTGCTTAGCTGATTAAAGATTTAGTATAAATTTAATTGTTTATGCTTATTTAATTTTCATATTGGATACCATTTTAATAAATAAAAAGTTAGCATAATGTTTGAGTAGATTTATTGTTGACAATGCTAAAATACAAATGCAACAAAATGATTCCTTGAACCATTCTTGGTTTTTTTTGTTACACCATTCTGAAGCCTATTGATTTTTAACAGGATTAGTTAAAATACATTAAATGAATTTCATAACTAATTATTTTAGGAAAGTATATAATCCATAACATGTGGCAAACTACGAATAATTTAACTTGAAATTCCAAGTAAATGGGTTTACAGACACTGCTTATCCCAACATTCACACACACACACACACACACACACACACTTATCAAAGTGATTTATTTTTGGTAATCAACCTTACTTGCTGGTTTCTTTTTCCCCTGTAAGACTGCTTATTGGTTAAAATTGACACAGTTTATTTTTCTGAAGACTGAGATTTATGAAAATGTGCACCTGTTTTGGTTTTATGTGAGTTGTCTACAAGGGCATTTAACCCTATGAGTGGATGTCAAAATACTTCTAATATATGTTTAGACATATTGCAGAGGGGCTTTGTTATTTTTAAGTTATTCTGATCACTTCCTTTGTGTCTGGTCTCATCTGTTGCACGAAACAAGGGCAGCACTGATGAACTGCATGCAGTAGGGTCTGGGTATCAAGAACTGTTGGTATGTATTACTCAATTTACATACAAAGAGTTTGTCTGCATTGTAGTTTTGTGTCTAATATCATTTGTTATATTCACAGACACATTGAATAAAATATTTACATGAAGGCATATTAGAAAACATCAAACAACTTTATGTAATGAAATCACATTGCATCACCCACAAATATAGAGACATGTCATGTAAATAAATTGGTAAAGTGAATTTCCCCCTTTACCATGCCAAAGAAAATTTTAGCTCTTTGATGATACCTCTCTTGCTATTTTTCCAGGATAAGACTCTCCTCTCTTTTTCTCTTCACAAATGAACCTTACCGTTGTTAAGTGCAGTCTGTTACCATTGATGTCCTGTATAGTAAATCTGATGGAACTCGTTAGTATTTACAGACTGATTTGTACCTACATGTACATATGTCAATTGTATTGAGTCTAATACCAATTCCATTTGCATGCATATCTGGTGTGGGAGGGTTATTTCTACTGATTTATTAAGGTAGTTGATTGCTTCACCCATCCTTCAGCAATGTTTTGATATTTCAAGTGACACCCTTTTTATTTTCTTATAAGTTTGTTTTCTAAAATGTTTTGCTAAAACTTTACCTACCCAGAAAAATTATAGAAGAGATACAAATAGTCCACCTATGTAAAGAGTAAATTGTATTGAGCATTATTTCATTATAAATCCTGAAGAATTTAGAAATCCTTGTTCTAAATGTTAACTTTCCCTGAGTCTTTTGAAGTAGTGGGTGGCTTCAGGAGCTCCATTATGGGCCCATAAGTATCCTGCTACAGTCCTTCTGATTGTTTGCCTTTTGAGAGTGAGTACAGTTTATCACACCTGGTCAGCTGCTTAATTAAGATCCAAAGCACTAGAACAGTCAGATGTTTTCATGGCTATCAGATTAGGTCATCTTAAAAAAAAAAACTTGCTTGCTCTTTATGTCAGATATGTATCATTTATTTAAAGTTTTCTCCCTAATATTGTAGGGAGAATTAAAATTTTGGGGAGAGAGCAGAATAAAAAAATCTACTTTAGAAGGAAGTTAAAGTATTTGAAAATTAATTTCATTACATAGCAAGACTATGTCCAGGGAAAGCAATTGAGCTAAATAGAGTCATATCAAAATCCAGATGTGAATTGTGTTACTTTGGAGTGAAATACATTTCATAGCTTAAGTTTCTTATCTTACAAAGTGGTACACAGGGTTTGTTGGCTCTTGAATACTGAATAGATTTTCAAAATTTTGGAAAAAAGTTTGCAAACAAAGGCTAAATTATGTTTTGTTTAGTTTTGTTTTTTTTCTGGGTTTTCCATAATATCAGTTTAATTCTGGTGTTTGCTGGCAGAGATTGAGGTTGCAGTTGAGTTGGTAAGGTCGTTCCTTTCAATGTGTTGAAAGACTCTAGATTAGTTCAAGGAGTCCAGACGGAAAAGGGAGTATAATAATCTTCCTATTAGATCTTATGACTTTAGTGGAATTTTATAGAAAATTCTTCTGGAAGGATTCTTCAGTGATGGTTTGCCAAGCAAGCAGGGTTTGTGCCAATATCACTTACAAACTTGTTGCATCCTTCTCAATTGACATTAATCCCATTGTAACTTGGGACAAACTTGAATAAGCAAATGAGATTTGTACATTTTCCCCTTTTGTATTTCAAGTTTGTTCTTTCCTTGTCCTCAAAGAGAGAGAGAAAGAGAGAGAGAGATTCTATCATAGTAACAGAATCAAAAGCCAAAATGCAAAAACCACATTTAAGAAGGGTAGAATGTATATTTTTATATGTAACTGTTTTTATTTTATTTTATTTTTTCCAATTTAAACTTGTAAACTCACTCACTTCTTAATAGATCTATTGATGTTTACAAGTTAGAGTCAAAATAACACATACATCAGAAACATGGAAAGTTTTAGTTCAATAATTTGTTGCTAAATGAACCAAGAATATAGCTGACTGCCATGTATTTTCTGCCCATCAAAAATTTGGACAAATCACATTGTGAACTTTATAATAAACATTTCTCTATATCTAAACTTTGTCTTTAAAAACATAAAGGCTGAGGAAATTTTTCTTATATTAAATTTTAAAAAGAGTAACACTTTTATTGTAGTTATAATTAATGAAAAGGAAAACAAATGTAGAAAATTAAGACATACCTAGGGTTATGTGAGGAGGCATAGGAAATTAAGAACAGTTCCATCAGAGCACATGTTGGCCAACTTCTCAGCTGTGAGCCAAATCCAGCTCACACTTGGTTGTTGTATGCCCCAGGAGTGCAGAATGAGTTTTTCTTTTCTTTTTTTATGCTTTTACACTGTCAAACACAAACAAAGCAGAATGTGCAACAGAGATGTGTGTGACCCACAAATTCTAAAATATTTACTATGTGGTCCTTTCCATAGAAAGCAGAGTTCTGCAATAAGGGAACCTGGATATCTCTTGTACTATGATGGATGGATAATATAATGAATTCCAATGTGTCTATCATCAAATAAGTCATCATTGCAATTGCTGCTGAACAATTATAATAGGTTTGTTTGAAGCTTAAAATGCTTAAGTAGAGAAGAGGAAAGAATATAATCTATTTATTTCTTAACTGGTTATATTTCCCTTATTTTACAAAACTGATATCTCAATTGACGTTCAACAATCCAGATACAACTAATACAGTTGCTCTCCTTAATCTCAGGATAGAGAGAACAATTTCATAAATCTGTTAAAGTATGAGAACACTATTAGTATTAGAAAAATTGTTATCAATTAAATTTTCTCTTAAATCATTTTCAATGTAAATTATAAGTAACTCAGCAGATACATATTTTTCCTCACTTTGATGATTCTACTTATAAAGTCTAAGCTGTGTCTCTAGAATATTTACGTCATTAAGTAAAATTTCCAAGTAAAAATTTTCACCTTAAACAATATGAAAATTATTTTACTACAATATTATAGGATTTTATAACATATAATTCACATTTAGAGAAAAAGTTGGTCTTTTTGAGCTCTGAATAATTAAAGTTTGCCTAAACTAATGTGTGTCAGTAGATTTAACTACAAATATGTAAGGGAAGTCCAAATTATTGTACATTTTCATAATTCAATGTGAATTTCATACAGGGCAAAATTTCATCATAAAAAATATAATTTTGTTCCTGTCACTGATTGATTATTTGCAATTTCTATTTAAGCCATTTCTAGATTTTTCTTTTTATTCTCTGAGCTTTTGAGACTGGTGCCATTTTATCATGGCATCCCTTCTCTTCTATGCATGATCCCACCTTTTCAGTAAGCAATGTGTATTTAGAAGTAAGGGAGTCTTTAAAAGAAATGAACACATATTTTTGGCCCATCCTAGAACTAAGTAGATATTGTCTTTAAAAAGCAAGTTACCATGGAGTAACTTAATTAGTGAAAAATCAGATACCTTGTACATGTAATCCATGCCCAGTATTAAAAATGTTGTAGCAATAGAAGGTGGATGCTCTTGAATAACAATTTTTTTGGTTAGTCATCAGCTGGTAAAATACATATTGACACAGACTATAAGCAATTTATATCACTATTTATTTAAAATGTTAAATTGTACATTTTCATAAATTCTTCATCTTTAAAGAATCTTCTTTTGTGAGTTTAAAGTGAGACTATACAAATGATTTAATGACTAAAAATAACCAGTATTTTTTCAAAAGCACTGGTGATCTTGCCTCTGCCTCCCACCCTCATCCAACATTATACTTAACGTGTTTGTCATCCTTGTCCCCATATGGAAATACTGAGTGATATGGAATCCTGGAAAAATATGATCAATGGATTTATGTGAAGATGTCTCTTCTTACATTCTGAAATGGCCTTTGTTGTGTAGGGATGTGCATTCCTAACAACCATGCAATTCAGTATTTCTCAACTCCAGCACCATTGACAGATAATTACCTGTCATCGGGGGATGGGGTGCTGTCTTATGCATGTAGTGTGTTTAGCAGCATCCCCGGCCTCTACCCACTAGGTACCTATAGCACACCCTCCCACCCCACCAACTGTGAAAATCAAAATTGTCTGTAGACATTGCTAAATGTTTTCTGGGTGGCAGAGTTGTCCTTGTTGAGAACCACTGATATAAATTGTGAAAGAAAAATTTCTTTCTGGTGTTATCTATGTAAGAGTTTGCTTAACTCATTTTTAATAAGTATCTAGATTTCATTCAGGCTTTCAGAAATACAAAAACATACAATAGTCTGTTTGCCCTGTCCTCATGGTGAATAAACATGCTTTCCTCTGCATTTACATGTTGTAATTGGTTACAAAAATAAGAATCCAGTCCTCTCCCATCTAATTGTTAAGGATAGTCTGTGCCAAGCCAGATTTCACATGCGTTTCCATTCCATCCATCCCAGCATTCACAGTTTCCACAGCTACATATTCCATTCCCTGAAATAAAATATATAGGAGAATAATGATCATAATTGAAATGTACCAAGTTAAAATATGTTATTATAAACTGTAACTGTTCATAATCAAAGCCATTTCATTCATTCTCTAATTTTCTCATTGCTATCTTTCAGACAATTAATGGCCTCTACATGGTGCCACTGTCAAGTTAGCATCAATCTAATGGTGACCATTGGTATCACTCCAACCGAGTTTCCATGTCATAATTTTAGTTTTCTGTAGAAAGTAGGTCACATGTTACTTATGAATAAATGCCAAAGAACTTAGAGCTCCACTGCATAGCATGAGCTAAGTTGGATAATCAGCTAGAAGAGGAACCTTGTATAGTAGGGAAGAACAGAAAGTGATTGTTTAATTTAATGACAAACATAACCATTTTTGACCTTTATGTAGAAACACAGAGAACAAATATACGTGTCTACAATTCTCCTGTAACTTTTTCAAGGAAATGTATTTTATAACAAATTATGAGGACTCAATGACTCAAGACAGCAGTAACTATTATGCTCCTAAGTTGTCTTCATGCTCCCATCACTCCCCCTACACACACATACTTTCTGTTCCCTAAAAACAACCAATACATCAACCAGCTTCTGTACCTGGGTCCTGTTTAAAATAATATTACATCTTTTCTACCATGCTCAAAGTAAAATAGTTGTCACGAGAATTATTTTCTTTTTGCAATATGCAAAACAGCATATGTGGAAGTTGGGGGAAGATACTTTGTCCAATTTCCCCCTGAATCATATAATTTTGGTACATTTGTTTGTATTCTTCTATGCCTGGGAATAATGTTAGTGCTTATTCACAAATGCCCACCTCCCTTTATATACTTTATATTATTTGGCATTTGAGTATATAGAAGCTCTCCTTCCCAATGATGTACACCAATATGGGATCTGTGTCTTTTGCCTTTATTGCAAAATGTGGCATAGATCAATTGGAGTAGGTCAGTACTGCACCTGTACAAATGAGACCATCATGTTTGTCACAGTCCCTGTCATCACAGTCGCAGAACTCTCCTGAAATATACCATTCTTCGGCAGAACAAATGCACTTTCCACAGTGACAAGAACCTGAAATCACAAAGGGTATTTTGACTGTCACCACATAACAAAAAGGTTTCCGCCTAGAATAGAATACCATTGATGCACTGACAATAGGCTTCTAATAACCTATCTTCCAAAGGTAAAAGTTTATGGAATAGCCAGTTGCTCAGAAGGGAACTTTACTTACTGTAATTCATAAAGGTTATCTAGAAAAGGCTTCTTATGGATCTAGACAGTAGAAATTAGCCTTGAGCAAATGTTCCATGGCTCAGTCTGGTTAAAATGTCAATGAGAGCAGGATGTGACTGATTTTTATAATAGGCCTTCCAAAAAGGTGTTCAAAAATAGATGCTCGTGGGGGGAAGGCAGAGACAAATGTATTTGAAAAAATAAATTAATTAAAAAAATAAAAAATAAAGAAAAAAATAGATGCTATTTTTTTCTGAATTGAATTATGTTTTAAAAGTGTCTGTCCTTTAAAGGAATTGAATAAAAAGTTCTATTAAATGAGGGTGCATTTTATAATTAAAACAACTGCCTACTTTATTGTGTTAATATTTTCAGATTTTTGTATATATAATTTTCTTACAGTAAGGACACACTTGCATTGGCTGGGTCTTTAAAGTGCTAAAAATACACACAAACATTCATGTTTATTTGATTCATTAAATCTCATTCTCAGGATTTCCTGCCATAATCCAGGATAGCTCTAACCACCCCACCCAAATGTTCATCTTTTATGAGGCAATCCAACTATCTTTCTCATTATGTCATATATGTCCCCTCTTATTACTTCCTACCTAATTAAAAACTTTGGCTTTGGTTATTAAAAATATTTTGGTTTGTGATAAACAAAATATTTTAGTTTGCTGGTACATTTAGAAAAGAAAATATATGAATTAAATGGAGTCAAAGAGAGAAGAAATTTCTCTCAGTCTAAATGGTCTTTAAATGACAGGGTAAAAAACCCTCACATGGAAAAATTACTTCTATAACAGCAGTATACTTTGATAGACCATTTGACAAGTAAATTTCAGTTCCAAAAGTCTACTAGTCACTGAAATACTTAAAATGAAAAATGGGGATTGATTTTTGTATGTGTTATGAAAAACTAGCTTTTCTTGGTCAGCATTTCCCCCAGCTGTGTTGTTCTTTCCTGTTTGTCAATTCTCAGTGCATCTTAGAGGTAGAAAATTCTTCTACTGCTTGTGAAACTAGGAGTAACATAGCATGTAATAATAATGCAGTGTGATTGTTATTAGTATGTCTTATAGCGCCTTTGTTATAGAGTGCTCTGGCTGTTTTCATAAATAATCAGGGGTCAAAGTGCTCACCTCTGGAAAGGGAAAAACTTTGGGAGAGGATTCTTTCTGACAGATATAAGCCACGTGACTGCCAAGAGGTGACACATTGTTCAGCTCAGCTGGACCAGGACCCACTCGCACCCATGAGACCCAGGCCAGCCATAGGGAATAGCTGGTTCATCCTGGCATGAACTCTCTAGAATGGTAAATTCATAACCATGACACCACTAATCCATTTATTTTCTTCCTCAGTATAAGGACCCTTAAGAATGCTCCAATCTCCGTTCTGTGCTTCTTACTGGCTTCCATTCCTGGGGAATCAGCCACGGTTTCTCCTTGGTCTTCAGAGCATCCTTAGGACTTTTAAGAAGGGGAAAGAAATGAAATTCTTCTGACTTCAAAGATGAAAGAATGGAAGTATAGAGAGGATAAGGGAATTGCCCCAGGAAAACAGGGGCAATAAAAAAAAATAGTACCTAAAATTTCAATCTGATTCAATCTACTATCTGCCTACCTATGATGCCTCTCATGAGAAAAACTTTCAAATAGTTTAAAAAAAATGGTGGGGGGGTTGGCAGAGATAAATGTATTTGAAAAAATAAATTAAAAAGAAAGAGAAAAAAAGACATAAAGAATATACATAGGTCTTCAACTATGTAAGCATTTTTATTTGTTGTTTTGAGAAATAAGTAAATGAGAAATACCTCTGCATCTAAACTCCAGAATGAGTTACAGTTTCCCTGTACATAAAGTTATCAGTGGATAAAAAGCAACAAGATTAAAAGAAAATGAGTTGTATGTTCCTACTGATCTGCGTGACAGCTATATTGGGTGAGGCAACACTGATCTACCTGGTTTTTGAAGCCTTTTACCCTGTCTCTTTTTGGGGATAGAGAACCAGCCAGGGTGGGATGGAAGTGAGAGATAAGTGGATGGATGGATGTACCAGGGACTCATTTGGATGATGTAGGACTCAGTAGCATCATTGTGAAAGTTCCAAGGAGACATTTAATGACATGTGATTACAACCACTCTCAGGCAACATCTTTAAGAATATCAGAGGTGATGACCTGTACCTAGTTTGAAGTTATCAAGGTAAAAAGTTTATTATGTACTCTTGGATACAAATAACTACCCAAACAAACAGCTGATGAATTATATGAGGGGGCAACCCTCAAAAACAATTTATTTATAAAAAATTGTGTATTGATTCTTACATGTTTAAACCTCAGTCACCATCAAGGTACTCTCCATTTGCTGCAATGTACCTATTGAGACTTTTTTTTCCACTGCTTAAAACAGTTTTTGAACTCAATTTTGATGCATTTTAGTGCTTCTGCCATTTTTTGTTTTACCTCTTCTACATCGGCAAACCCTTCCCCTTTGAGGATTTTTTTCTTCTGGGGCAACAAACAAAAAAAAAGTCACACCAGGTGAAATTGGGTGAAAAGGGAGGGTAGGGCATGGGAGCTATGCTGATTTTAGTCAAAAATTGCTGAACACTCGTGTGGTGTGGTCAGATGTGCTCGCTCATAAATTACCCATCATGAAATGGGCAAACACATTGAAAAAGTCCTCAAAAAAATTCACTGAAGCTAAACATAGCCTCTCACAACCTAGAATACTCACCTAGTGGGAAGCTTGCACTACAAGGGGCCCGCCCTCCAGAAGATAATTCTGTTTTTGGGGGGTCCTCCCTTAATTACATATTTTTCAAAGGTAGTAACTAAGCTTATGGGAGACACGGCTTTAAGCTCATGTCTTGGTTATTCACAAAAACAGCAGTTTGAGTAAGGGCGAGCACCTGTATTAGCTGCCCCATGAACAAAGTAGACTTTTTTTCATTCATGGCGCCTGAAAAAATGCTGCAACCTGATATCCCAGAAGGCAGTTTTCACTAGTACTAAGGACTCTGTTAGTTATGAAGGTAACAACAATGTATCTTGTTTTAAATTTTTCTATGGAGTGATTTATTGTCTTGGCTATAAATTTGTAAAGAAATAAAATGCTATTTCTTCATCGTCTCCTGAGGTGACAGCTTTATTCACAATACACATTTCAGATTTGTGTCTCTGGTAGAAACAGTTGGATACAGGCAGCTAAGTGGTGTGCCATGGTGGCCTCAGGCTCAATGCTCCTGCCTGTCCCCTAGTCGGGAGAAATAAAAATACTTCAGTTTCCTTTGTGATAAGCAGAGCTGGGGTTTTCATTTACAGTTTTCAGGAAAAATATATGGGATTCTGGCAAGTCCATGAAATCTATCAAGAAATGCCTGGCCACAGTCAAATAACTTGTAATAGGTTTATCTTATCTGTTACAACGTCAAAAAACCTTAGTCTGTTTTATAAGTTACTCTTTCTGTGGTTCTTGAGGTGAGGGGTGGGGTGGTACCCTCCATGGAGACAGAAATAACTGCTGCATCTCCACTATTCTCTGTGCCTATGAAAGAGTGCAGTTACATGGTCTTGGTTTTAGGCACATTCTTCTATAATCTATTACTGATGTGTCCAAAATAAGGAAAGAACAGAGGCTTCAGCCGGATGTTGCAGATGATAGAATGCCACCATCATCACCAACACCGGCCCCAAAACATGCAGCCTTTAGGCAGATTTTACAATTCCTTTTGAATTTAAAGACTAAAAACTCTCTACCTACAAAAGGATAAACAAATGGTTTAGAATATATGTTTTCAATCTGTAGGGTAAATGGAGGCAATCTGGCTTCCTCACCCAGATGTCTGGGGAACTAAGATAAGTAAGGTTCTCATAGACTTGAGACTGGGTCCCATAAGCATTCCCATGGCCTTGAATCTGGGTCCAATAAACTGTTCCCATAACATTAAGTGGGCTTGCATGAGCAGAATCTTACTGTGTTACACAACCTGTTGGCTCCCTGACGGCTTTGTCTCTTTCTATTATATAAGGGGATAAGGGCTTCCTGCTAATGCACGCAGCTTGCAGCATGTGTGGATCACCCACCCATCCTTGAATAAAGGCATGCCAATCACCCCCATGGCTCTGTGACTTTTCTTCCATTTGCCTGAATCTTGAGTGACCTACCAGGTCTTGAAAGGCTGTAAGGCAATCCACTAAAGGATAAACAAATGGTTTAGAATATATGCTTTCAACTCTTCACTGATTTCTAGATATATTTCCATCACCTAATGCAAACAATTTGAAAGAAGCATTCACTAGAGAGATTTTCCTGTTTTGTTTTGAGGAAATGCCTTTGGGTTCACCCAATTTTTGGCATTTCCTATATTTGTGATGCTGAAAAATGAGAATCTCTCCTCAGAATGTAATGACTTTAATACGAATGTTCATTTCTTGAAAACAAGCTACTTCTCTTTTTGCATAAAGTTCAATTTAGGACATGACAGACTGGTATTCATTACACAGGTGAGCATGGATTTATGTTTTCTTCTTGTATCTGCAATTGGACATGAGTAACAAAGACCTAGTTATGAATAATATTAATGATTTCATAGTGTATCTAATAAACACACACATAAAATGGCTGATTTTTAAAGTAAACAAATATAAAAAAGCACAATGTTATAATAAAAATGAGTATCCTTATTCAGTAGAGTTTCTGTGAAAAGATAATATCCTCATAGCACAGACAACGCCATCATGAAAACAATAAAAAAATATTTAAACTTTAGGGCTCTGTGTTTTAAATTATATTTAGGAAAAAAAATTCTAGTTCAGACAAGTTAATCATTCTCAGTACTATTTTATACACAAGACACTCCCTTCTGATCTGGTAACATTTCTTCCCTTCTGCATCTCCCTTGAAGATTAATTCTATTCCTACCCCTTTCCTGTTCTCTTTGTTAATTTCTCCTTCCACAATTCCTTCCCTATTTTCTTCCTTTTAACCACTCCTTCCTCCTTTTGGTTCTCCCCAAAGAACTTCTTGAACCTAAAGCAAGTGTTTCCAGGGGCTGAGGGTCCCTGAGAACTGAAAAGGTACAATATTTGTTTGGGACTTGGAATTAGAATGAATTTAATAGGAGAACAATCAGGAATAAAACGATTGCTTTAAATTACTTTCAGTGCCACCTGGCTGCTTTAATTGCATTAGGTTACTGGCGTGGCCTCTTGACCAACAAACATCAGCCTCAAACACAGAATTCCTGGGAACAAAGGACATAGTTGTCTATTGAAATAAGCATGTTTGTATCCATTTTCAGCCTTCCTCCTGGCACTGCATGTGGTCAGCATCCATATGATATTTTTGCAATTACCTCAAGATGCCTCTTTCACTGGATAGCATTGACCTTGAGTGATAAGTAAAGCAACAGCCACTGCAAACAATCCCATGGCATATTCTGCTTCTGAGACCCTCTCAGCAGATCAGCTTTACCTCACTGTGTTTTCTTTAGAAAGATATTACCTGCTGCTCCTGCCCCAGGGTATGTGTTGGAGGATAAATGCAGCATCAGGCATAGAAGTCTGAAAAGGGGAGTTGTTTGTTCTGCAAGATGGCGACTGAGCTGAAGGGGAGTGCTGACAAATGACAACTAGCTCCAGGCAAGGTCGCTCCCTAATATTTAGTAAGAATTCCAGGAGCTGTTAGAATGCTTTTGCATTTCTGGGCTCTGCTATTTCACAGGTGAACTCAATGGTTATTGTTTTGCGGGGGTGGAGGGAGGTTGCATTCAGTACCTAGTATATCTTATAGTACTTTCTTCTTTATACAATTATTAATTGAATTTCATTCACAATGAGGTTGTATACAAGTGGCTGAGGATCTTTTCACATGCAACCCATCTCATGCATCTTGTTTCCTTAGATACTAATCTTCATGTGGTTAACTTTCAAGCTTAGAGTCTGGTATGAGCAGAGGACAGAGTGATTTTCATTCATGCAAAATGCAGCCTGAAAAAGATGTTAGCTGTGTGCTGCTGTACAAACCATGTGTCACAACAGGGACCCAGTCCAAGCTTCGGCAGAGATACTCACCCTTTCCTGAGCACAATATGCCATCTGCTGATTCACACAGACTCTTGCTCAGTTCTTCTGTCATGTTACACTTCCTGGGATGTTGGCAGAGATTTCCAAACCATCCCCTCTCACAAATGCAGCGACCACAGGAACATGTGCCATGGCCTGCAAAGCAATCACAGAGTGGGGTGAGAGAAGGAGGTGGGTAAATGTCCAGCTGAATCACAGTTTTTAGGAAGAAATACGTAAAACATTGCATCTCAGTTCCTATCCAGCAAACACACATTCCCTTAATGCATAGTAAATTGGGTGTGTGTTTAAAAGAATTTCATAACAAAGTTTTAGCTTCACATAATATATTGAATATGGCAAAGGAGACAACTCCAGAGAGAAAAAAACCCTTGAAACAATTTAAAATGAGATATTTACCATCTTTTCTTGATATAAAATAACATCATTTGCATGTTTATTAGTATAAACCCTTGGTGCTTTCCTTTGTGCATACCATGACACCCAGACCAATGATGCAGCATTAATTGATTGCAATTTTATTGTTCACAAATAAAAATAAAAGATTAATTTAAATAAGAATGGCATCTGGTGCTATATTACTTTATCTGTGTACCTCTTTACTTACTAATAAGAACAAATGTATATATAAAGTAACCATGTCTCTCTATTATTATCTAGAAGTTAAAAACAGCATAAAGCTTAGATTCATATCTCAAACTTTCTTTTCCTTTTGTTTCTGCCATTGGTTCCTGGTTTGGGAAATGTTTATCTTTTGGTTATATATGCAAGGTTGTATTTGTGACAATTATACATTGGCATATACAACTGTCTAGTTGCTTGTCACCAACACTCTGTTGGATTGCCTCATCTTCCATTTTAGTTTCTTGTTTCCAATCAATGGTTTATCCTTTTATCCTTTTATATATATTTATATATATATAAATATAAAATGATACATATATATGTATGTATGTATTAAGTTATAGGCAGATCTCTGCAAACAGGACAAACAAAACAGCAATTTGGCAAAATCTTTCTGAGTCTCTATTATGAACAGATCATTTTGCTAAGCACCAGAGTATGTGAAATCAAGCATCAAGGACACAGTTGTCCCTCCCAGGGACACATAAAATTATTCAGACTGATCAGCCCCTATGGACCTGTTAACATTATTCTGTCTTGACCATTTGCTATGGCAGGACTTTGAAGAGTAAACCTTTTCCATCTGCTTCCTCCTACACTCAGCTTTACTCAAGAAGGTATTAGGGACCAACGCTTAAATATATGCAATTCATTGTAATAATTAATTTAACCTAATCTTACACAAACCCAAGTAAGGTTTTTCCATAACACATAATCCTGTAGAAGTTTATGGAAAGCAAATGGGAGGCAAACTCAAAAAAAGACTTGTATTAACAGACCTATTTCCAACAGACTCTTTTTATCCTTATGTTGATTTACTAAATTGGTTATTATCCCCATTTTATGGTCAAGAAATTGAGGCTCAGATAAACAAAGCAATTTTACCCCAAACCATATAGCTCAACCACACAGAATCAGAGTTTGGCTCCAGTTTCTCTGATTACAATGTCTACTCTTCCTTCATTTTATCACATTGCTTCTATATTTCATTTTGGGAAATAATCAATCATCAGCTTGAGACAACTATAATCCTTGTATTAATTCCTATATGTTTTTTAGCTGTGCATAGTTTGAAGTTATACATTTGACATTCATGGGCATTTTCTCCTTAAAACCTCTCTCCTTATCCTTTCCATACTCTTCCATTGTCTATTTATTCTTCTATTTCTTTTTTTGACCTGATTAATGGCAATCCCTCATTGTCTGTCTTCAATATCTCTCTATAATTTCTCCTTTGAAAAATTCATCACATCACAGGATATCTGATAACCTCAGTGAACACAGGAGTGTACCATTCCTGTGATTCCATACTTTGTGCACTACTAGCATCCAAAATTGATACTCCTCAGATGCATATATAATTTTCTTTCTAAAAGATACTCTTCTGTATTTTCCTTTTTTGTTAATGATACAACTTTCCTTCTAATTAACCAGTTTCGAATGTTTTGAATCACAATTGAATCACTCCTACTCCCTCATCTAAAGAGTTGCCAGGTCCAGGTGAAACTACCTCCTAAACATCCACCCACATCACCACCATAAAATTTTGAGAAACCTTCCTAACCTGTCTCTCCCCACTATTCTTGCTCACAGTTCCTATTACACCACTCTAGTCACATCATAGCCTTGAGATCTAGTGCTGTATGACTCCCTAATGTTTGAGATGAAGGTCATCTTACTTTAGCCTTCCTTATGTTTTAGATTCATGAAATAGATTCCCAAGATAATTTTCCAACCTTACAATATCACCTCTTCTCTTCTTGCATATACCTCCTTGTCTAACCAAACTGACCTACTCCTTCTTCTGTATACATTCCAGTGCTTTTTTTTACTTCATGCCTTTGTTTTGATAGAAATACTATCCACTTATTCCCCTACTTAACACATCCAGGTCCTGATTAATTTTTCAAATCTCTGTGAATAGTTTTCTAATATCCCTAAGTGAAATTCATCTTCTCTGAATTTCTATAGTACCTTATTTTTCACCTCTATCATGGAACTTTTTGTCTTCTAGTTTGGGATATGTAGTTATTTCTCATATGAACTCATTCTTTGACTCTGAATTCCTTGAGAGTAGAAATCACTTCTGATCCATCACTGTAGTCTTCAGAGTGCCAGGCATACTACCTTAGTCATAGTTGATCTTCACAAAACATTTGTAGATTAAGGTTATTTTCAAATAACATCTCCTAATTAAAAAAATAAATTGTAACTGAGAACTGTAAACTGAATCCGGCACATGTTTACAGGTCATCTGGCTAATGAACTGTCCGTCAAGGTCAATGGAAAGTGCTTGGATGACTATTTTATTTTGATGTTCTGTAGAGTGGAGTAAAGTTAGAGAATTGGTGTCCCCTAAAAGCTACACATTCAATCAAAATTGTTATTAAATTGACTATATCTTGACTTCTCCAATAAAACAAAATAAAAAAAAACAACAGAGAGCTTCTAGTGCCAAACCCAGTGAGCTATGGATTTTTCAAATGCCCATGTTTCTAACTGACTCAGGTTAGTAAGCATTTTAATTAATTTGTCATAATTAGAAGCATTAAATCTCTATTTCAAAGAAAGGCATTCTGATTTTTGACTTAGAATATCATTGAAAATAACTCAGTGACACCTTATAGCAATAATTTAGTATAAAATTTATAAGTAAGGATAGGTGATTGTTTTTTATTTAACAGTGCATTTATTACATCTTTCTACAATGTTAATTTGGCAACTAGTCCAGAGAATAGACAAAATGCATTGGTATTTATATGTTTTAATTTGCCATTTACATAGCTTCCATTTAGTTAAAATTTCTTAAGCTTTCAATAATATCTTCTTTATAAACTCTAAGTATTTAAGTCTATATTCAAGAGCTATTTATTGTGTACCAGACATTGCACTAGACCTATTCTTATGATCCTTTCAGTCTACTAGGTTAGAAAACAAGTAACAATAAGTGAACAAATGCACTTGAGTTATGGAAGAATTAAAGAGGGTGCTAGTGTATTCAACAGTGGAAACATTGTTAACTGGCATTGTCTATGACACGCAAGGGATGAGAAGCAGCCAGAGAGGCAATATTCCAGGAAAGTTAATGAAAAGTTCTTGGAATAAGAAAAAATTTGGCATGTTACAAAGAGTAAAGAAAGGCCAAAACAGTGTGATGGTTGCAGTGGGAAGGGAGTGTGTGGAGGTGAAGAAGGTATAAGAGGGATAAATGGTAATGGAAAGATAAATGAAAAATAAACTATTAAAACAAAGAAAGAAGAAAAACAATAAGCAGTCCATTTCTTATTCTCATCCTGGGTATATGAAGTACAGGAAAGAGGCTCTGATTAAGATTATTTTAGGCTAAAAACAAACACATGTGAGCCAATCTGTAGATATATTTTGTTTGTGAAATATTAAAGTCATATACCACTTAAAATGAGTACATCTTAAGGACTATCACTCTGGGCCTCTGGACAAAGCATATATTGTTTTCAGTAGTAATTTATCTGATTGTAAAAATCCATGCATTTTTAGTTCATATAAATTTTTTATTGTTAATAAAGTTGTTTTGAAGGGGTCCATGTATGTTTCCATTATAATTAAACATGAATTCCAAATAAGTTAATTAAATGGAGAATGGTCTTACTTCACATTGACTTTCTTTTGCCAGTGATTTTCAGGTTGTAATTTTGGTGTAATCAAAACTGAACTGCTTAAAATTGTGTAATCACTTACACTCACTTTCAGGTACAATTTCTAAATTACCCAAGCCTGCCAGAATTGGCTTAATTATCTTTAGTGTTGCTGTTAGGAAGGTGCATAAACTACATGGGCTATCAGCTTTCTTGAGCCTGCTGATTAGGTAGGTTTATGGATGTTTTTGGTTTTACTATCTGTTGTTCGCAGAAATGCTGCTTTGGAGTTAGGGACCTGGATTTTTCCCCTGAACACAATGTGGATACAGAGGTTATAGTTCATCTTTGCAGGTGAAAGGCTACGGAAGTGATGACTCAGTGTCTGGTGGTGAACTGAGAAAATTACACAAGCTAGTGATTCTCTATTTTGTTTTCCTCTGAAGCCACACTAGGGGGATAGTGTCAGTGAGTTTCACATACTCATAGTAGTAAGATTCATTCACCATCGGCTGCCACATGATGGGAGACTGATTGCTTTAAACAAACTAGCTGCCGTTCCTTCCCTGACACACAGAAATGTCAATTTGTAGGGTGCCAACTTCCTTCTAAAACACTTTGTAACTGCTGCTTCAAGATACCTTAGACAGATGGATTGTTTTGTCTTGTTATGGAGATGGGCACTACAATATTTTGCTTTCCATTAAATACATAGGGCATTCATTGATTGCCTACCTATCACATAGTACCAGGAACTTTTCATGCTTTATGTCTCATTCTTACTGTAAAGCCAACAGATGGGTATTATTATCCTTACTGTGCACATGAGTAAACCAAGGCAGAGAGATGAAATGACTCATCCAAGTTAAGAAAACTAGTAGGAAATAGAACCAGAAT